CTCGGGAGATGCCGCCCCCCCAAACAGCCGCCGCCTTAACGGTCCGGGCTTCTTCTTCCAAAACCCAAGAGCCGCCCGAGTGTCACGCCGGCCTTCGTTCGGCGGTGGCTGGGGGGGCGGGCGAGGGAGAGAGCGCGGGACGAGGGCGTGGGCGCAGGAGAGAGAGAGAGAGAGAGACACCAAGGGCTGAGTGGGAGCCTGAAGGAAATGCTCCGCACACGGGACGCGTGGAAAGGGGTTGGGGGCAGAGCAGCCCTGCCCGGGTTACCCCCCCACCTCCCCCTCCCCACTCCAGAGAAAGAAGGAACTTTTGCGTTTAACTGCAGTGCAGACCCATCCTCGGCCGCTCCGTCCTTCCCTTCCTTTTTGCAGCTGAGGAGGAAACGCCTGCCAATTCCTCTCCCCCCCCCCAAATTCCTCTCCCGTGCACACACACACGCCAAGGGCGGGCGCGAGTCCCCGGCCCGTCGCCCGCCTTCGGGTACGGTACCTGGTTCTTGGCGCGGCGGCGCCTCCTTGCGTCCCAGGCGCTCCTTGCCCCTCAGCCGGGAGAAAGTTTTCCGGAACAGAGGCTGGGCCATCACGCGGCGGCGGGCGAGTTGCCTCTTTCCCCCGGAGCCCCCATGCAAGGGGGAGAGGCGCGCGCGCACGCACACACACACAGAGAGACCCTTCCCCGGCCTCGGCAGGAAAGCGCAAGGAGGATCGTCGGGCGGCGGCGGTGCGGCGCGCTCGGCGAGGAGCGAATTCCTTGGATGCCTGCCGGCTTGCCTGCGAAGCCCGAGCCGCTGCTGCCGCTGCCGCCGCTGGGGCTTGTCGTCAGAGGAGGACCGTGAGGGGAGAGGGCTCCCGGACGGACCCAGCCCCGTCTCAATCTGACGGGAACCCCGCCCCGTCCCGCCTTCCGACGGGGGCTCGCTGCGCGCCGGGCGGGCCTTGGCCGGACTGGTGGCCACCCTGGAGAAGAGAGGCGGCTGGGCAACAGCCCGAGAGACGGCTGCCCCTCCGCCCTCCGGTTCGACGCCCCCACGAATCGCCGGCTTTTTCCTCGCTGGCGGTTCCGCGATGGGGTGAGTCCGGATCAAGGGAACAAAGGCGGGGCAGCTCTGGGGCAAGCAGCGGGTTAAAGGCTGCTCTGGCCCGCTTTTCCCCTAAATCCACTGCTGGCCCGTTTTCCGAGAGTTGCAGGAGGCCTGCAGGACGTCGGAGCCGGTCTGCCCGTCGCTCGACCCCTGACTCTCCCCAGGGAAGGGGCCAACGCTCTGGGACTGCCTTGCCAGTTCCTGCCTGAGACTACCAGCGGTATAAGTCTAGGTTCGTGGAGGAAGAATAAGCACAAGCATGTGCCCTCAAGTCAGTTCTGACCTAGGGCGACCCTTTTTAGGGATTTCCAGGTAGAGGAGACTCAGAAGCTATTTCTCATTCTTTTTCTTCTGGGCCAGCCCTGGGGCTGTGCAGCTTGCCCAAGGCCAGGCAGGCTGGCCATACTCATAGGAGGCGCAACGAGAAATAGAACTCCCAACCTCTGGCTCCCCATCCAAACTACTGAGCTACCCAACAGTTAGAAGTGGATATGGGACAACTGATTGGTTCAAAATTGGGAAAGGAGTAGACAAGGCTGTATATTGTCTCCCTGCTTATTTAAATTATATGCAGAATACATCGCGTGAAAGGCTGGACTGGAGGAATCCCAAACTGAAATTAAGATTGCCAGAAGAAATATCAACAACATCAGATATGCAGATAATACCACTCTGATGGAAGACAGTGAGGAGGAATTAAAGAACATCTTAATGAGGGTGAAAGAGGAGAGTGCAAAAAATGGTCTGAAGCTCCACATCAAAAAAAACTAAGATCATGGCCACTGGTCCCATCACCTCCTGGCAAACAGAAGGGGAAGACATGGAGGTGATGATAGATTTTACTTTCTTGGTCTGCATGATCACTGCAGACGGTGACAGCAGCCACGAAATTAAAAGACGCCTGCTTCTTGGGAGGAAAGTGATGACAAACCTAGATAGCATCTATCTTAAAAAACAGAGACATCACCTTGCCGACAAAAGTCCACATAGTAAAAGGTTTGGTTTTTCCAGTAGCAATGTATGGAAGTGAGAGCTGGACCATAAAGAAGGCTGACTGCTGAAGAATTGATGCTTTTGAATTGTGGTGCTGAAGGAGACTCTTGAGAGTCCCCTGGACCGAAAGGAGAACAAACCTATCCATTATGAAGGAAATCATCCCCGAGTGCTCACTGGAAGGACAGATCCTGAAGCTGAGGCTCCAGCACTTTGACCATCTCATGAGAAGAGAAGACTCCCTGGAAAAGACCTTGATGTTGGGAAAGTGAGGGCAAGAGGAGAAGGGAATGACAGGGGATGAGATGGCTGGACAGTGTCATCGAAGCTACCAACATGAATTTGACCCAACTCTGGGAGGCGGTGGAAGACAGGAGGGCCTGGCATGCTCTGGTCCATGGGGTCACGAAGAGTCGGACACGACTCAACGACTAAACAACAACCCAGTCAGCTAGGTTGGGCATTGGGGGAGGAGGCAAGAAAAGAAGATGTGACAGAAATGTATCAAGTATGCACTGAGGTGGAGAAAGAGAGTAGAATAAGGGGGTTGTGACCCTTTAGGGCTTCAAGCAGAGATCTTTTAACAAACCGCTTGAGGAGCATCAGGGGTGCAGAACCTGGAGTTTTTCCGCCTCATGTCCAATTTCCTTTCACTGACCTTAGGCTGCAGCTACAGAGATAAATAATACAAGATTTACTGCAAATATAACATTGATGCATTTGATTTTTCAAAAAAACTGATCACAGCCAATGTGAATCAGCCCAGGTCCTTTTGCTTCCAAAGCAGTTTTTTTCCCCTACCCTATCACTGCGGGATACATTTTTTCAAGCTGGAGTGATTCAAACTGTGTTTTCCACGTGTGAGCAGTTGTTTTGTTCTCCAAAAGAATGGGTGTGTGCGACCATGGATGGTATAATGATAAAAGACTAAGACAGGCATGGTATTTGGGGCAGCAGGCGAACACCCACCCCCATGATTTTTCTTGCAAGTCTGCCTGAAGTCAAAGCACTCTTCCAAGTCTATTCATTCTGTATTTAGAATTTCCAACCATATAAAATTTAAACCCCATAAGATAAAATCACCTCCATTTGAGGTACAGATTCCAAAGAAAAAGAAAACAACAACTTTGGTCTAAAGCAAAAAGTTGGAATAGAAACTCTAACCCCCCCCCCATGCAGAAATTCAAATTCCCTTCCAGCTCATGGCTATATTTTAGGTACCCTACTTGTGCCTTAATTTCCATCCCAGGTAAATGCAAGAGATAAGTATCATTGTTCAATTCCATTTTTAAAAAGTATTACAAATACAGTATTAAAGTGCTGTGGACTTTCCAATTTCTCCAAAACAGGTCTGTAAAGAATACATAGCTGCTCGCAGATAGGAGGGACTTTCCTTTTAAGCCTCTTTCCTAAAGAAACAAGTCCTGCATGCGACATGCTATCAATCCCCTTTACTATGCCCCACCACCACAGGGGCAGTGGATGGGCTGCTCAAAGTTTTCCCTAGAAATCACATTCCAGGATCAGTCATGTCCCACCAAAGATAGCTCTCCTAGTTGTGGAATTAGAAAATCCACAAATTTCAGTCTATAATTGCCATTCTAAATTGTGCATGTGGATACCAAGCCTAAGTAGAGACTGCAGGCTTTCAGAATGGGACAGGATTAAGAGGTAGAATTGCAGCATTCATGAATAATAACCATAATAAAAGTTTGGGGGAGGGGGAGAGAAACCTTCACCTTTAATTTCTGTGAGAGAGATATCTGGTAACCACCTATACTGGGTGCCAGAGCCCACCAGTTCATCAAACTGTGAAATTACCAGTTTTGCCCATCCTCTACGGATTTGTGAAAATAGGGTAAGGATTTGATGACAGTTTATCAAACTGACGCCTATAGTCTGAAGTCCTGCACAGGTCGTTTGTGATTACTGCTCATGGCTGTCAACTTCCCAAGCCAATACTGCACCACCCTCCTAAATCTGGAATAATGATGACACAGTAAGGAGCCACGTGATGGATTCCTCCCATGTGACGCTTCACATTGCCTGAATGGGATAGAAAAGAACTGCATGGAACGGAGTCTCCATGCTCTATCAGCAGCAGGGAGAATGGCCACATCATCAGTTATGAGAAGGCTAATGCAGGAAAGCATTGCACTTTGGAACCCTTCTTTATGGTCTACACCTAACGACAAACATGTATGCTCAGTGGCTTGAACACAAAGCACAGAAATGTTAAAAGCTGCATTTAAACTTGCCAGGGAGAGCATTATTTCAACCATTGCACAAGCCTAATTGGTACGACATATAACATCTCCATGGGTGAAAATGACAATACATGAGATAACGCATAGAGGAGAAGCAGGTAAAATGGGAAGGGTCATGTATTCAGTGCTGCTGCTCTCACCCAAAACCAGGAAAACAAGCTACTGTGGAAATACATTCGTTCCATATAAATTGGAGGGCAGCTAATATAGATTAGATGTCTGGTATCTAATCACAGTGAAATGGCAACAGCACAGCACTGGCGACGTGTGACAAGGGTTACATCATTAGCTCACTCGGATAAAAGAAATTTAAAGTGAACCCACCCTATGCATAGCCATTGCAAGCATGTACTGACCTTGACTGCTCTGGCATGTGATCAAATGGCTTGTCCACCTTATCAGCATTCCACACAGCACTGCTGTGTATTTTCTGGTCACGAGATTGTTCTTGGGAGCACTGCTTAGGTCAAGTACCACTAGAAATACAATTAATTGCCCAGGCAGTATATGGAAACATGACAGAAGTTCATGTGGGTGGATATGACAGAGCTTAATAAAAGTATGCAAGGTTTGGGAGCTGTATTTTTTTTTCTTCCTCTTATACCAAATCTCAGTAGAGTTTTTCTTAAATTGCTGGTTGAAGAGTTCTGATGCATCTTATATGTATCTTATATGGTTATCATATTGACCAAAATCCTGTTGTGTAGAAGGGAAATGGTGTACCTCACAGCAGAACATTGCCACTAATTAACAAGTCCTTGCTTAGATTCCTTATTGTGCATCTATCTTAGCACATGGTTAGGAATCCAAGTGCGGGTGCATCAATTATTGGCAATTTTCCACTGTGAGTTACACTTTCACTGATGTTAACTACAAATCATATTTTGTGCCATTGTAGTTGGCTTTTTAAATGTAATACGCACTGCCTTGGCATCTAAAGCTATTTTTAAATGTCAAAAATAAACAAATTTAGGGCCATTCCATGAAACTGGGTGGCAGGGGATTCAGAAGAAACAAAACCAATAATTACACAAATAATTAATTTGTGTAATCCACTAATAAAAGTTGTGGTAAAGAGCATGAGACAAACCCCTGTAGTTCAGTAGTGCCATCTAGAACAATTGATAAATGAAATACTAAATTTAAATGTAAGAATATGTCTTAAAATAGCACTTTATTGATACTGGAGAGAGAATGATGGAAGTTGACAATGAAAAAAACTGATTATAAATTTAGTAACAACAGCTAAATTAGTAATAGCAAAGAACTGGAAGGTTAAGTGTGATCTCCAAATGAATGGTATAAAGAAGTGTGGAATACAGCTATTAATGCTAAATGACATACATAATTAGAGTAAGAAGAATGTTAAATAAGAATGTGTTTGGAAATATATGATAATTTATTAACTTTGTATTAACAAAGGGATTGTATCTCTTTGCAAAAGTCAGTGTATTTTTGGAAGGGGAATGGGGAGCTGTAAAAGAAACAGTTTTATTTCCATTGGTCCCAGTAAGGGGGAGCACAGTACATGTATATGTAGATATTTTTAGTTGTTTTATTTGTGAGTGTGTGTGTGAGAGTGAGTGTGGTTTTTTTTAATTCACTCGCTAGACCAGCAAAATAGAGTATATCATGTGTTGGAAAACATGTCAGTCTAATTCAGAGATTAGTTTTCACCAAATCCAGAGTGAGTTAGATAACATGCTAAGCATATTTTTACAAGAGATGCCCCCTCAAATAACACCTGCCATATCACATTATTTTTTCTCACCAGCCCAGCTTACATTCAGCATGCTTGCTTTGTAATTGATCACTGGAATAGGCACAGGCTAAATTTGCAAATCTGCTTTTCTGAGGCAGCAGTCTGAGGAAATCATGTTCAAGGATGGAAAATGGGTCAATCAGAGAAAATAAATATTCCATTTAATGTCTGATATACAGATTTCTGTGGTAGTGTATTTATTCATTTCTCCTTGTCTTTCTGACATCTAATTAGAGGCCAGGATGCTCAGTCTAAAACATTCTCTCTAGAATGGACTTTGCAAATATCCTCATAATCGTAATCTTGGAACTGCAAAGCTGGAAGGGATCCCATGGATTATCAAGTCCAGATCCTGCCAGAGCAGCACAGTGGGGAATCAAATTCTCAACCTCTAGTTCCACAGCCAAATACTTAAGTATACCTGATAGATTGTAAGTCACTTGTTACTAGGTCTGGAGTTTAATGACCCCAGATGGCTTTCAAATGATACAAGTTAATTATATATTTTTCTGTGTCTCCTGGGTACCAGTCGATTAGTTATGCCAGTCACCAAAGTGAAGAGCTTACAACCACATTCCTCAAGAACTGAATACAATACTTATGAGCAGGAAGAACACGACTTCCTTGTTATGAAAGGGGTTGTCAGGGGAATGATTTTTGGACTCCCAGAACAGCTCAAGACTGGCTCAGCCTTCTGGAAAGAGCCTCACAGTCTTGACCTTAGAAGGAGCAGATGTCCTTTTCCCTTTGTTATATAGTATCAGACGATTTTAACAGCTTCTTGTACTACTGATCTACTCTACAAATTGACTAGATAACATGGTGTTCCAGAAAATATATTTGTTCACATAGGACCTAATGTACATCACTTGGTTTTGCTATCACAGTAGAAGCCTTGAGAGAACCAGTATAATGTAGCAGATAAGAGTACTGGACTAAGACTCAAGAGATGTGGGTGTAAATCCCCTCTCAGCCGTGGAAACTCACTGGCAGGTGGCACTGGTAAACTCTTCTTTGAGCATTTCACATACTTTAGAAATTCTACTGCAGTCACCACAAAGAAGAAACTGGACAGCATATAGCAGAAATAATGAGGAGATGGGGCATCCCATAAAAGAGCAATTCTAGAGAACCGCTGAGAACTGATGTGTCTTTTTCATGCTAAAACAGTGGCATACAGATTTATTACATAGTAGTAATCTAGGAATTGCATCTTCTCTTCCTGCTTCTTACCAAGCAAATTACTGAATTAATAGACTTCTAAATGATGATGCTATCTGGAGTACAAAGATAAAACAGCATCATATTGACTTACAACATGGCAATAACCTACGATCTGTAGCTTCCCTTCATGTTTCTTAGTAAGATATGTTACTGAATTAACTGGCGGCAAAAGAATGATGTGATCTGGAGCAGTGGTTCTTAACGTGGGCAATAATGCCCCCCCAGAGGGAGATTTCATTTTTCAGGGGGGCGGTAGAATGAAAAGGGGTGGTGTGGGGGGGAAAGAACAGAAGGGGGTGGTAGGGGGACGCTGGAGCGAGCCAAACCTGTGAAGGCGACTGTAGCCGCAGTGCTGGCAGTAGATCCGGAGCTGCTGCTGCCGCCAGATGATCCAGCTCTTTCTACCTGCCACGTCTCGCCTTTCTCCTTTAGGGGAGCACTGAGTGTGGATCGGGTGGAAGGAAAGGGTCTCTTGGGTCCTCATCCTCGCCCCGTGAAGCGCTGCCTCGCACCCGGGTGGAGAGGGAGACTAGGTAGGTAGGTAGGTAGGTAGGTAGGTAGGTAGGTAGGTAGGTAGGTAGGTAAGATATCATCACCTCAGGGAGGGGGGGCGATGATAACTTCCTCAATGGCTCAAGGGGGCGTTTCTTTCAAAAAGGTTAAGAACCACTGATCTGGAGTATAAAGATATGGGACAAATAGATATTGCAGAACTGTATGTTTCCATTACAGGATTCTGTTTTATTTGTACATTTTAAGATGTCTATATCTAAGGTCAGAAGCCCTTAATATAATAAGACTGTAAGATGACTTATTGAATAAAAAGGTTTAGCAAAAAGTCATGGGAGGGAGCCACATATTACAGATTATACTTGAGAACATTGTAAAGCTGATAATGCAAGGGACTGAAAACACACAGTGTCAGGAAGACAAACCAATACCCAGGGCATCTATATAACAGAGGGCAGCAAGGGATGTTTTTCATTGTGAATTGCCATCATCCTCTACAAACCTAGTACAGTATTTAAAATTCTTTGTGACATGAATCCATTGTAAAACAAGTGCAAATACTAATACTGGTCATTAGCTGGATTTAAATTATGTTAGTGGAGTCTGCTGCAAATTTAGTTTTCTTCCAGCATGAAAGACTCTTACAATTGCTTTTTTTTGTTATGAAGAAGACATCTATTTAAAAAAAAAAATTGCATCTGAACTCAGAGGTCTTGTTCTTCACATATACACGCTTGTGGTATGTCTGAGAACCTGTTCATCTCTTAAGGTAGAGTTCGGTCTTTTATCCTGTTCATCTCATATATAGCTGCATTCGCTTTAAACAAAAACTGGTCTCTCTAAACGTTAGAAGTTAAGCAGGTGCTCACATATTTTCTATCATAAACAGGAAAAACCAGGTAGGTGTCCAAAAGAGGCTGAAATTCTCCCTAAATTTCAGCCTAAGTCACTTCAAGCAAGGACTACCGGCAGCTGAGAATTGCTGCCACTGGATTTGCCTTGAGACCAACCTTACTCAAGAGATTACTGACTCTCCTGGCATTCTTCCATCGCATTCTCTCAGCATCAGTGTTTCTGGATTGTGGTTGCCTCAGAGACATTCTGGCTCCAATCCAAGTGTGTGCACAGGGAGCAGCAGCTGCCCATACATAGCTGTGCAGGAAACGCAGTAATTGGACCAACCAGTTGTTGAGTGGGAAGGAAGAAATGGGGGAGGGGAAAGAAAAGGCACTACAACCATTCCTTGGTCTTCATCAGGGAACTTCTTGGTTGTTCTTTATAAGTTAAATGCATACAGTTCCAGCAGATGGACAACAAAGCAATATGCATCGCTCACAGTGTACTTTCTAATGCATGATTTCTCACAGAATGTGGACACCTACTTCCATATGAATATTATCCCAGTTCTTCACCTAGATCAGGGAATCTGTGTTTCATATTGTGGACCACTTGTTAAATGGGGAGACAGTTGTTACATAGAATATAATGACATATTCAAGCAGGCTTGCCAACTACCAGTTAATATCCTAGTACTTCCTGTTCCAGAGGAACAGAAGATAAAGTGTTGTATTTCACCTGGCTTCTGCTGCATCTAAAGAATCGGTCTGTCTCCCCCATGTGTGGCAACAAGAAAATGATCCGGGAGGCAAGGAATTACTTTACTACTTTATTACTAAGCAGGCATTCCTCCCATCTGAGAATCAGCAAGACGCATTCCACATATACATAAATAATAATGCTAGTCTATCGGTCCTACAGGAGATTGATAGACAAAAGCTTAGTAAGGCACGCTGGGTCAAAGGCACAAGGCTTTGATTTTATAAGAAATTCAGCCCCACATCTGTTTAAACTCTGGAGCTTAAAGAATGGAACAAGAGGAGACCGGACAAGTTCTGTTTCAGAAAAATCTGGGAGCCAGAAGCTCAGAGACGGACAGCACCATTATCCAAGGTGGTTGTAGTGATTTGAAACGCCACTGAGAATAACTTGGGTCAACTACAACTATACCACGGGCAGGGAAAGTCGAGATGCTACTAAGGTTTGCTTTCATAGCTCATATGTTACATGTAGCTCTTTGTTATCTGTTTGTTTATTTATTATGATGATTTGCTTTTTTACGCTCCACATAAGAGGGACATGTACTCCAGCTTAAAGCAGAAGATGCCACTTACCTTAAGAGAACTTGTTTCCAAATAAACAGACAGTGAATCATATAAAAATCATTTCTGAACAAGCTGGAAGCAAAAGGCCTATTACTTATTACAGAGACGGGGAACAGTAGTTGCTAAACAGCCAAAACTGGAACAGCTCAAGACACATGACACGGCAAGAGGTAGCAAGGGTCCTATCATTTTATTGTCTGTGCTGAAAAGGACTTGCACTGTGACTTCTTAACAAAGGACAGAGGCAAAGACAGAAGACCAGACTGAGAATGCCTGGGCACTTTCTCATTGTGCCCCACTGCCACTCCCCCTTTGGGTAGTCTCCAAAACCACTACTTTTGGGAAACATTGACACAAAAGGCAGAGAGCATGACACTTCAGTTTAGGGGGCGGCCTAAAGCCAAAACTGCCTGTATACCTAAGACAACTGTTTATCACAATGTGAGCAGCTGCCAGGACAGGAAAAGTAGTAGAGAGGGAGGGGCCAAGGTCAGAGCCCAAACTCACCTAGGAAATGTAAGAGTTCTGAATAATGTAGTCTCAGCATCTCTGGCATCATTTCTCATTTTGTATTGCTGAGCAAGGACAACCAGCTGGCTAGATGTACATATGGGAACAGAAAGGGTACTGTATTCTTAGAATCGGAAAGGCCAGGATCCAGCCTCACGAGTGAAGTTGGGCCCACAATGCAGTTTCAGGTACAAATCCAATAGCATTCTTATGTCAGTGTGAGCCATGCCTATCCGTGCAGGAAAAGGATACCTATAAATTGTAAGATGGTGATACATGGGCTTGGCAGACTAAAGAAAGGGATGGTCTTTATTCCTGGCTGTGTCCAATAAAGCATCAGGTAATCAATTAGGGTAAGTTTCCTTGTTAAACATGATCAAAAGAAAAGCATCTGCCTGCCAAACACCAAACAATAGCTCAACTGTGTTACCACCTTAGGCAATATTATGTGTAAATGATGGGGTGGGACAGCCCAAGCAGACACTTCAGCAAGATAGTGAAGTTAAAGTAGAGGAAGCCAGGTATTTGCATAAGGACCCCAAGAAGGTCCACTGAGCCAGGAGAGAGGCTAGCAATCCTGAGCTACAGGGCTGCCAACACAAAGGCAATAACGTCACGTTGACCCCTTTCTTAGGAAATTTCAACTGAGCCAGATATCTCAAGCAAGGCAGAATATCTTCACTTATTCTACAGGGCTGCCAACACAAAGGCAATAACTTCACGTTGACTCCTTTCTTAGGAATATTTCAACTGAGCCAGATATCTCGAGCAAGGCAGAATATCTTCACTTATCTTCACTCCTAAACAGAAATGGAGCCTTCACGGAAGTTGGTTTTCCCAATGAGGGCATTGAGGAGGACAGGTTGTCCACTTCTGCACCTAGATTGTGCTGTCCTTATGACGTCATCCATTTGGTCTTCATTCTGCCGGCTGAGCAGGAAACCAATCCCTCCTAAGCCTTCTGCCACTATATGGTAATCTGCAGGGAAGAAGACCACCGTCATGAATGCAGGGGATGATTAGACCAAGTGCTTGTTTTCTCAAAAGGTTGGGAGCTCAAACTTGCTGCTGTCCCAGTAGGAGTTTTTGGGTTTTTTGGCAACAACTGTACACTCATTGTTTAAGGAAATGCATGCTAAATTAATGAATTATCAACAGGATAGACTGAAGAAGTGGGAAGGTTTCAAGGCATGGCAACTGCTAGATCAAATCAATAACCCCAGGTGCCTACCCAGAGTTTAAAAGGAGCCGAGGTAGTCTGCTCCTGAATTTAGATGTGGGCTTCTCGGTGTTAACACATGTGTGCCCTCTTTTCTCAACTACTAGCTCTAGAAGAAATGTCAATTAGTCTTGCAAGATATTACTCTTATTTCCAATGGATAATTTGCAAATTTCCATATGCAAACAGTTTACATTTGCAAAATACACCTGGTAGCCAAACATACACAATGGGCCCTGAGTAATGTTCCTTTTAAGTGCGCATGCGACACTCCATTGGTCTTGCACACTGCCAGCTGGTGTTCCCACCGTTCCAGTTTTGGCTAGAACCCTCCCCCGGCATATGTGAATGGGGTGAGGCTCCCACACAGCCAAAAATTAGAGGCAACGTTGGTCCTTATCAAACCCAGAAACCATGCAATACTGTGCTCTGCATATGAATCATTTTTCTTATCATGATTTAAGGTGAATAAACAAACCCAGTTCTGGGTTTGCAAAACCAGCCTCGAGAGCCTGGCCCTTATGATGTCACAAATCCTAGTCCTCTCTGTATCCAGTGAGTTTCCCCCACCCCCAAGTCTTCTCAGGCAAAACAGCTATGTGGCTTATATTAATATAGTACCTTAAGAATATAATAAGAGAATAAAGTACACCCAAAACATTAGGAGGAGGAACAAGCTGACAACTGAAATAGGAGAAAAACAGTTCCTGTGCCAATACTGCATGCACACATACACCCAAAGCCTCTGAAGAAGGTTACTGCTGTAACTCAGATGCTGCAAGAAGAATGTCAGCTTAGCCTAGCATTAGCCACACCCAATCTTGAACCAGGTGCTTTTACCAACCTGGTAGCTGTGAATTCCAGATGACATTATGAAAGCCTAATCAAATTTGGTCCACTAAAATCCCAGAACAGACATGCAGTTACACTGACTGTTCCACAGATAACATTTGGTTCATCTCAGAGGCTGGACAAGGTGTGACCTTCCTAAGATTACTTGACAGCCCTCTCTTCAGGAGAAGTCAGCTCACCTGCTTCTACTTAAGCAGGATTTTAGGTAGGATGTCCTGCCTTATGCTATTCAGGTTATTAACTCACCCAGGTAATCCAGGCCACAGGCTACATTGCTACCCAGCATAGGAACTTGCTCCCGGGAGATCTGGCTCCAGCAGGCATCGTTCCCCACCAAGGCAATCACTGGTGTCTGACAAGAGCAAGACAACATATTAGATAACCAGGAAGTGTTTGAAGTGTATGTCCAACAGTGCTCCCTACCAGGTTAGTTGCCATTAGGCTGCAGGACTGTGACTGACTGAGTCAAGGAAGTGTGGATGAAGTCATTGCCCAGAACTGCTGTTGCGAGCGAATGAAACAAACAGCAACTCTGCAATCGCACAAGCTGTCTGAACTAAGCCCTCTCCCTCATCTCACAAACATGCAAGGAGGGTGAGCTTGCCCTGCCCATCCTAAACTCAAAGTTGCCCACTGTTAAAATGAGCTGCCAATCAAGGTTTTCAAACAAAAAGTTGCTTCTAACCAGCGAACTGGGTCTCTTGGCAAAGCTGCCATCATTCCGACAGCGTTTCCATCCTGCCCAACTCCAGCTATTTTCTGCACCCTCACCCCCAACAGCTGAAACACCCAGGAGCTAAGGAACTTTACAGTTACCTTATGTCGCACAAAAGTGTCAAACTCCATGATGCTGAACCCAAGAGAACCATCTCCATATAGGATCCAGACCTGACAATGATTAAAAAGGAGAGCAGTTGCAGCAATCAGAGCTCAGGTAGGGTGAATTCAACCCCAGAAGATCTTTGTACCATATTTGCTTTTCCAGAAGTAACCAACTTGTCATTAAGAAGGAGAGCTCCTCGGTCTGGGAAAGCTTCATATAAGCAAGCAGATGGGCTTGATATTCACGTATTCAGCTCAGCAATCTCTTTTGGAAAGAGGAGACATTCCACCAGAGCTTCCACCCTTGGCTTCCTTCTACCGTGCACTAACCTCTGACTCTGGCCTGCAGAGCTTGGCTCCTAAAGCAAAGCCTCCACCAACCCCCAAGGTCCCAAAGGCTCCTGTAGTGAAAAGAGAGAAGAGAGTCAGTGGTTGAATTGTTCTGGCAAGCCTAGGTTCTGGCAGACCACCTCCTAGATCGCTATCTCCAGGCTTTACAAAATATGCATTGGGGAGGAGGTTGTTTATGTTGGTTTGCTTTTCAAGTAGGAACTGTGTTGTAGTTAACAACACTAGGCATATAAAATGAAAGAAAGGTTGGACATAAATGCTGCAAGTGAACAAGTAGACAGGTAGTTCGCACTTTTGTCTCAGAGGATGCAAATTCCCTAACTAAGTTACAGGAAGAGTCTGCAGAAGATGCTTCTTACATACTCCAGAACAGGAAGAGTCTGCAGAAGATGCTTCTTAGATACTCCAGGACACACAGAAGGACACAGACCCTGGAGCTATCTCGGTTCACTGCCAATATGTACTCGAGAAACTCTTCTGGTTTATTCCCTTGAGGCTAGCTCCTGAATGTAATTTCTTCTTGTCCTATCCTCACTCGTGGCGCAGTGGTTAAACCGCTGTACTGCAGCCAAAACTGTGCTCACGACCTGGGGTTCAATCCCAGGTAGCCCACTCAAGGTTGACTCAGCCTTCTATCCTTCCGAGGTCGGTAAAATGAGTACCCAGCGGGGACAATGTGTAGACTGCATAATTAACTTGTAAACCGCCCAGAAAGTGCTTGAAGCGCTATGGGGCAGTATATAAGCAGCACGCTTTGCTTTGCTTTTGCTTTACTCGACATCTTTTGGAAATCCTTTTACAAAACTTCTTCAGCTCAAGCCTTCTAGGATCACTATGCAAAAAAAAAAGCCTTTTTAAACTCGTGTACCCCATAGCTCCAGGAAAACTGAAGGGTTGGGTTGGGGTATGACCTTCAAGTATAACACACAATGACATCGAAACACCCTAAGAACCATTATCTTGGTGGCTTGCTAATCCCCTCCCCACCTCAGATCATGTCCAGCCACCTCACAAAAGGTATCAAAGGGTTCCTAGCTTTGTCTCATTCTTGCTCCTCTTACGTCACCTGGATCCAGCCAGGACAGCGGGCCCCTCGGTTTTACAATGTAAGCAGCACTTGCCACGAAGTCACCTCCATCTGCAACCAGCAGGCTATCTTCAGGAAGCAAGGAGTCCACATGATGCAGCAACTTCAGTGGGTTGAGGTGCTGCTCTGTAGATTCTTCTGCCTTCTCTCTGGAAATAATGTCAGAATGGTTTTGTAACAACTCCATAGCCAGCTTCACTCTTTGTTGATCACAGTATTGCGCACGAGCAGGGCAAATGAAAAGCTCCTGCAGGCATGAGGCATTCCACACAAGAATGTGTATACACACAGTAGAACTTCCAACCTGTTTGCTTTCTCCTTCATGTGATCAGTCTCCTTCAGACTCATTACCCAGTCCTGGGGACACGAATAGCCCTTAAGCTCTTGGCTCAAATTCACAAGGAAGGAGGAAGCATCCCCTGTGGGGAAAAAAGAGTTTCAGAACAACTGAAAAGCAGAAGGTTCAGGAGATTAGCTCCCCCGGAAACACTTCTTCAGGCCCCTGACGTCACCAAGCCATGCCAGGAAGCACCCCTATAGGTCCCAGGAGGCCCCTCACCTTTGATGGCAATATGGGGCTTCCATAACATGGGTGCATTTTTCAATAGCTGCTCCTGGTTCCTGTTGACAGCAATGATTTTGCTGCGCTTGCTCAAGATACGCCCATAGGAGAGACGAAAATCGCAGACTGTGCCTAAAAAAAGTGGAAAGAAGTTACGAACATGGGAAAATCCCTAAAAAGATAGCTCCCATGGAAATATTTGCACTCCGCACTCGAATTCTGCAAAGCTGGCCCCCTTGCTTTGAGAAAGAACCCCTCAGCCAAAAGCAGCACTCGTCTCTTACAGCCAACTACCTGCCAAAATGACCACATCTGCTTCCTTGAGTGCCTCACGGCGGTTCTGACGAATGTGTACAGGACTGTTCCTTCCTAGCATGCCACGGGCCATGCCTCCTAGGAAGCACGGGATCCCCAGTTCTTCTAGAGCATCTCTGTAAGGACAGAAAGGAAGATTTCGCCATACGGGCGTCAAAGCAGTAGCCTACTGGCAGACAGCATCAGAGCCTCAGCAGAGCTTCTACCCCATCTTTGATGTCCTATACGTTCATCTCCTTAGGTTTCCCTTCCTCAGTTCCAGTTTCCTTATCGGTCTGGGTCCGCCCCCGCCAATCCCTAGACCTTGTCTCCCAAGGTTCAGCTGTATCAGTGGTGGCGAGCTACAAGCACTGATCACTCTGCTATGGCACAAAGTGGATGGGGAGTGAGGGGACCCCAAAAGTGGTGCCAAAAATTCTGATGGCCAGGCAGCATGCTAGCTCTCACCTGAGCTTCTTTACTGGAGTGGGAGGCAGGGTCGCTTGGCTGCCAAGAAGGATGATGGGCTTCTTAGCCCTGCTGATGAGCTCCACACATTGTTGCATCTGCACACAGATAAAAGATATAATATGCTCAGGGAAGGGCCAGGTGAGAGCAAAGATGAAGACCTTAGAGGATTATTGTGACTACTACAAAGTAGGTGGAAGAATAGCTTCAAAGGAGGGAGCATCACCTGGGGCAATGAAATTGAGAAGGAAATCATTCAAGTTGTTAGCAATGTCCTGTATATACCATGTCTTCCAGCTTCAGTGTGCCTTGATTCAAAGGCAGTACTGTAGTAGTTTGCCTTCTTTAGCAATGGCATTAAGTGCCATAAGGGGGAAAAAAGTAGAACATGCAAGTATCAAGGGGAAATATTTTTCTAAGAAACAGGATTTTTTTTTAAAAAAAAATGTAATTAATAAGATTTTTCTAACTTCTCACTGTGATTTTACTAATTCATTTCTGTTTGAGTTCAGACTACCTTGGCTTGCTTTATGATGCCTTCCCTAGGAAATCTCACCTGTTTTTGTGTGGCCTTTGGAATGCTCACTGGCAGAGGTGAAAAGTCTCGTTCCTCCCACGCCCCAGCAAACAGGTTCCCCAAATATCTGCGTAGATACCTAGATGAGTACAGAGAGAATGTAGTCATCAAGAAACCGGCAAGGGCATGGCTGTACTGTAGAGAAGGGTAAGGCCTAGAATCACAAAACCCACCGAATCTGAACAATTACTGCTGTCAGTCTGCCCCCTCTTTACTGAAATAAAGATAATAAAATCATAAAATGATGAAGTTGGAATGGGCCTAGAAGGTTATCAAGGGCTCAAAACTTTCTATGGCCTTATTGTGGATTGTCATATCCTTTACCTAGGGTAGGGAGAGTGTGTGTCCCTCTGGATACTATTGAGCCGGACTCCCAGCAGTCGTAGCCAGCCTGGCAAATGGCGGGAGATGTTGGGAGTTGCAGCACTACAGCTGGATGGCTATGTGTACCCTATTCCTGCAATACAGCCATCACCCCCTGCCATTTACTTAACTTTGTGGTAAGGCTTTCTCACCTTTTTGACTATAATTTATTTAATCTCCCTGACTCATTTGGAATGGAACCATGTGCACAATGAACTTGACTGGGGAGGTAACTGTGAAGGTGAGAAGAATCACTTCAAAAGTCTTTGAAATTCTATTTTTTTATTTTTAAAACTATCTC